CAAAACGTAGTCACCCTAAACTCAGCTCACTCTGGCAAGTTTTGAGCAGTAAATTTGGGCCTTTATATGAGAGAATAACCCCATGTGGTAGTGTGCACCCCAAAAAAAAATCCTGCAGCAACAGTGCATGAAGGAAAAAACTGAGGGCCGAATTTTCGATTAAAACAGCAACTTTGCTTTTTTTTTTCCTATGTTTTTTATAGTGTATTTTTGATTTCTTGGTCTGTTTGATAGAATGGAAGATATATTACAGAAAAGGATGATTTTGATTGGTTTTTTTGTACTGAAAATGGCTTGAAATGAGCTCAAAGAGCAAAATGTTAAATTTTGCAGATGTTCAAGAGTAAAAAAATGACCTCAATGCTAATACAGCCCAATGGTGGGTCTAATACACGTTCACAAATGTGGTGTATTATTTATACAATTTTTAATATTGAAAAACAGTAAATTTCATTTTTTGGTTGGGTAAATATCATTATGTAAATTAAAAATCAAAATGGGAATTTATTTGTAAAACCTGAAAATGTAACTAAAGTACAAGGAAAATTTAGTTTAGTGCCCGGGAATTTTTGACTGTTTATTGTGGACCCCATTTTGAAATTGGGAAAAATTTTTTAACTTTGCATTAAATTGGCCAAATTTCCAAAATTTCCCTCACTTTTTGTAGTTGAAACAGCCCGACTTTGGGGATTTCTTGTGCTCAATCATAGAATAGAAGTAATACAGTGAAATAGCTAAGAATTTGGTCAATGGGAAAAATGTAATTGGGCCCAAAATGGGAGTCAAAAAACGGCAAAAACCCAATGCGTAAATATTGCTCACATCAAAATTCGCGAGAATAAATTTTACAATTTTATCAAATTTCATACTTTTTCTTTTATTACCTTCAGAAAAAGATTCTCTACCATTTCATAATAAAAAATAACAATTATTTTTTGAAAATTCTTGGACCCTGGTACACACTTTGAAATTTGGCCTCTGGACCCTGAAAGGGTTAAAGGGGTGTCTGATTAAAATAGCCATGAAGTGAACCAAATCTGCAGTATTGAACAGCTATCCAGTCTTGTCATGTCTTTCAAGAAATGGACTGACTCTGCCTAATTACAAGTTTGTATGATCCAGGGTTTGTCCTGGACGTGTTCATTTTCATTGTTCTTGAGCATGTGCTCACACTGTTGTCATTTCATCTCCAATTTTTCCCTGGATTTACAATGTTTTCAACTATTTTATTAAAATACCATGAACAGTGTTATTAACAATGGCCCACAAAGCAAATGAAAGTGCCAAGAAGCATGTGATCTTAACTGTTAAGCAGAAACTTGAATTAATAAGGAGACTGGAGGCTGGCATTTCTGTGGCCTGGGTGTGTGAGGAGTATGGTGTAGTAAAACAGTGTCTGACATTCACAGAAGCAAGGGAAAGTTATGCAATATACTATGAAGTACAGTGTAGATGCTAGCCAGTAAACCAAAGCCATATACATCTTATCAGCCATCTACATGTCTGTCTCCCACACCATCTGCAATGTTGTTGCTGGAGCTTTACAGTTCCTGACTCAGAATAAGTTACTCTGGGTCACCACTAAACCACACTAAAATACTGTGCTGTATTATACATATATAAGCTCATCTATATACACATCAGAAAATGTAACAAAAATTACTGTACTGTACTGTGGTTTATTTTTATTATATCCAGTAGTCCTTTTAAGTGCAGGCATTGTACTTCCCACCCCCAGGACTCAAGTCCAACTAACCAGTTTCCCTGAATTCCTTCACAAAATATTACCCTGCTCACACTCCAATAGCTCATCAGGTACTAAAAACCATTCGTCTCCATTCACTCCTATCTAAGCATGCATGAGCATGTTAGTGGAGATGAATGGCTTTTGGGACCTGATGAGCTGTTGGAGTCTGAGCAGGGTATTATTTTGTGAAGGGATTCAGGGAAACCGGTTAACCAGACTTGAGTCCTCGAGGTGGGAAGTACAATGCCTGCACTTTAAATGAGGGGTTTGGGATACTGACTGCCTGGAGTGACATCTAAACTGTCGTATCCAAGCGCCCCTGGAAAGACAGTGATTATGTATAAATGATCATGAAGTGTTGAATGATGATGAAAATTTTTTTTCTTTCTTTTTGGGTCACCTTGCCTCAGTGGGAAATGGCCGATATGATGATGAAAATTTTTTTTTTCTTTCTTTTTGGGTCACCTTGCCTCAGTGGGAAATGGCCGATATGGTAAAAAAAAAAAGAAATCCGGTAGTCCATCAATACACTGGACTAAGCTTTTATTGGACATTTGTCCATGTCTGGTAGTCGATCAATTAAGTGGCCTACACCTGCTTAATTGAAACTTTCAACACAATGGATATTTCACTTAAGTTAATACACCTTATCCCTACTAATCCATTTTATCAGATGGTTACTGTACTAGATGCATGAAACTGAACAATCTTACTTCAGGTACAAGCTGTCCTACCAAGTACCTGTCACAGTTACACAAGAGTCTGAACATATAACCCACTCCAGGGCTAAAATGCTTATTAGAAGCTTATATAATCAAAGTACAAGAGTTATAAAACCTTAACACTGTGGGACTGGCTGACCTCCTTTCCTTCTGTACATTATAATTTTATTGTTAATCAAGTTCTGACTGAAAAAAAAAACTTGAAATTACATCAGAAATTGTAAATAGCAAAATCTTCATAATTAAAATGGAAAAAACTACACAAGACAGACAGACAGACAGACAGACAGACACACACACACACAGACACACACACACAGACACACACACACACACACATGAGGAGAATTAAATCTGATGAGGACCAGGCAGGACTTCAAAGAGACCTGGACAGACTGGACACCTGGTCCAGCAAATGGCTTCTCGAATTTAATCCTGCCAAATGCAAAGTCATGAAGATAGGGGAAGGGCACAGAAGACCACAGACAGAGTATAGGCTAGGTGGCCAAAGACTGCAAACCTCACTCAAGGAGAAAGATCTTGGGGTGAGTATAACACCGAGCATGTCTCCGGAAGCACACATCAATCAGATAACTGCTGCAGCATATGGGCGCCTGGCAAACCTGAGAACAGCATTCCGACACCTTAGTAAGGAATCATTCAAGACACTGTACACCGTGTATGTCAGGCCCATACTGGAGTATGCAGCACCTGTTTGGAACCCGCACTTGATAAAGCACGTCAAGAAACTAGAGAAAGTACAAAGGTTTGCAACAAGGTTAGTTCCAGAGCTAAGGGGAATGTCCTATGAAGAAAGATTAAGGGAAATCGGCCTGACGACACTGGAGGACAGGAGGGTCAGGGGAGACATGATAACGACATATAAAATACTGCGTGGAATAGACAAGGTGGACAAGGACAGGATGTTCCAGGGAGGGGACACAGAAACAAGAGGCCACAATTGGAAGTTGAAGACACAAATGAGTCAGAGAGATAGTAGGAAGTATTTCTTCAGTCATAGAGTTGTAAGGCAGTGGAATAGCCTAGAAAATGACGTAGTGGAGGCAGGAACCATACACAGTTTTAAGACGAGGTTTGATAAAGCTCATGGAGCGGGGAGAGATAGGGTCTAGTAGCAACCGGTGAAGAGGGGGCCAGGAGCTAGGACTCGACCCCTGCAACCACAAATAGGTGAGTACAAATAGGTGAGTACACACACACACACACACACACACAGCGAAGAGGCGGGGCCAGGAGCTGTGACTCGACCCCTGCAACCACAAATAGGTGAGTACACACACACACACACACACACACACACACACACACACACATACACACACACAAAATTAGAGAAAGTGCAAAGGTCTGCAACAAGGCTAGTTCCAGAGCTAAGGGAAATGTTCTATGAAGAAAGGTTAAGGGAAATTGGCCTGACGACACTGAAGGACAGGAAGGTTAGGGGAGACATGATGATGACATACAAAATACTGCAAGAAACAGATAAGGTGGACAAAGGCAGGATGTTCCAGAGATGGGACACAGAAACAAGGGGTCACAATTGGAAGTTGAAGACTCAGATGAGTCAAAGGGATGTTAGGAAGTATTTATTCAGTCACAGAGTTGTCATGAAGTGGAATAGTCTGGCTAGTGAGGTAGTGAAGGCAGGAACCATACATAGCTTTAAGACAAGTTATGATAAAGCTCAAAGAGCAGGGAGAGAGAGGACCTAGTAGCAATCAGTGAAGCGGCGGGGCCAGGAGCCGAGTCTTGACCCCTGCAGCCACAAATAGGCGAGTACAAATAAGTCAGTGCACACACAGTCTTCACCATAATTAACAATCAAGATGATTACAACAGTGTCCAGTTATTATGTTTCCTATTCAATGATTATTAATTCATTAATAATACTTCAAATGAAAGTGCAAAATTGTAGATGAATGGTTCAGAGAACCGACATGTTGATAAATCAGACACATGTGTAACTCTTGGGTATCTTTATTGAGGAAATGTTTCGCCACACAGTGGCTTCATCAGTCCATACAAAGGAGCATGGACTGATGAAGCTACTGTGTGGAGAAATGTTTCCTCAATAAAGATACGCAAGAGTTGCACATGTGTCTAATTTATCAAAATGCAAAATGCCTTAAAAAATGACTTATCAGCCAATTTTGGTACAGTACTGCTGAAATATTTACCAACATTCTGTAATGTATTCTTTTAAAATTTACATATTTTTAAAGTACTGTAATTACAGCATCATGTTTAAAGGATATAAATACACATCCTAGTTAAGCTTCTACTGACTGGGATTGCAAAAGTGAACAAATGTTTTTGTATTATTATTCTTATAATAACAACTAAGCACTAAACCCATAAGGGTCATACAGCACTGCAGGGTAGGGTATGCTAACGATTTAATATGCTTGATTAGAAACTAGCAAGGGTGGAGAGTATAACAGGGGTGGAGAGTATAACAGGGGTAGAGTTAGTAAGGATAGTGAGGAGTGCTAAAGTATAAATATTTTTGTAAAGGAAGCTTATAAGACTTACTTCGTAACTTTGAAGACTCTGAGGAGTCTGACACAACGGAGCACCGAGACTCCAAGGGGCGGCATAATTTCGGTGGAGGTGAGCACCACCTCAGTGATACTACTAATAACCACAAAGCAATCAAAACGGTTGAACAACGATACAAAGTAGCCCTGAAAAAATAAAAAACTTAGTTACCAAGGCTATATTAGTTACATGTTCCTTACTAATTTTTTGAACACTGGCACACTGGCTTGGTTTTCAAAGCACATATTATTTTCATCTCCATAAGGAAGTGGAAAAAATTCTTCCTCTGTAAGCCATGCGTATCATAAGAGGCGAATAAAATGCTTCGAGCAAGGGCCTAGTAACCCCTTCTCCTTCATAATTTTTTTTCCAACAAACCGGCCACCGGTCACCCCACCAAGGCAGGGTGACCTTAAAAAAAAAAAAAATAAAGTTTCTCTTATTAAATTTATTTATGTATACAAGAGAAGGGGTTTCTAACCCTTCATTCCCAGTATTTTAGTCGCCTCCTACAATACGCATAGCTTATGGAGGAAGAATTCTGTTCCACTTCCCCATGGAGATAAGAGGAAATAAATAAGAACAAGAACTACTAAGAAAACAGAAGAAAACCCAGAGGAGTGTGTATATACAGTGGACCCCCGGTTTACGATATTATTTCATTCCAGAAGTATGTTCAGGTGCCAGTACTGAACGAATTTGTTCCCATAAGGAATATTGTGAAGTAGATTAGCCCATTTCAGACCCCCAAACATACACATACAAATGCACTTACATAATTGGTCGCATTGGGAGCTGATCGTAAAGCGGGGGTCCACTGTATATGCTTGTACATGCATGTGTAGTGTGACCTAAGTATAAGTAGAAGTAGCAAGACATACCTGCAATTTTGCATGTTTGAGAGAGAAAAAGACACCAGATAAAATGTATATACAGTATTACACAACGTAATAAAAGTAATATTTTTTACATATACAGCCTCTCCTCACTTAGCAACGTACTCGTTTACTGACACCTCGGACTTACAGTAGGCTCTCTGACCAGTATTTATACCTAATGTATATTAGAGCTGATTTCCTCTATTCTGTTTATTTCAATATACAGTACACAACTGTATAAACATTTAAAATTATATCAGAAATGTTATAAATGGTGCAAAGGTGACATTAAAACAACATCAAAGATGGTTGACACAAACCCACTACCATTATAGTATGCTCCTCAATTAGCAACGAAATTGTTTAACGACATGGTCTTACGAACGGAACTCCATCGTTAAGTGAGGAAAGGCTGTATATTATAATGGAAGAATAAGATGTCAGTTATACTTTTAGCCACACACGAGATACCTACATTAATATAAAAATTCAAGTTAAAAAAAAATTAAAATAAAATAATTTAATTACCTATTTAATTTTTAAGAATAAGTACCAGATATGGAAGCCTTATGGTATCTTTAAAAAAAGTAATGCAAAAGCTCATATGAGCATTATCAATTTTTTGTGGAGAAACAACACTAGAGAATTAACTGGTGATACATGATGGGCTGAAAGAGTTGAACAGAGCCTAAAAGAGGGACACAAGAGATTCCAGGTTATAAATGTTACAGAATAATTTTGTCTGCTTTCAAGGAGCAGAAAAAAATTAATAAAACTTTAAAATGAGTAAACTTTTGATTAGTCCAGCCACCAAAATACAATGGAGAATAAAGTGCATATCAGTCACTGAGTAGACTTGTAATACTGTATCAAGACTTCACTGGTTGGCCAGTTTTTTATTAGTTTCAAAGCAAGAACTGCTGTGAATATATAAGGGGTGTAAAATTAATTCCCAGGAATACTCCAATGTCTTGAAAATTTTCTAACTGTCAGCTTGCCAACAAAGAAGCAACACAGTAATACTGTAGAGGGAGTGTGCTTAAGCAGCCTAACCTCAAATTAGACTGCTTATTTACTCCTCTGAATGCATCAATGTCACAGTTGGAGCAGTCTACAGACTACCACATACAAATACTTACACTTTTAGTGGTAACCTTAGAAACATGATAACTGACTCAGAGTTGAATAATCACCACTTGATACTTACAAGAGACTTCAACATAAACCTCATCCAAGAAACTGACCCTCCAGTAGCTGATTTCACAAACACTATGAACAACTGCTTGTTACTGCCTTCCATAACTAAGCTAACAAGAATTTCTGAGACAAGCACCTTATTACTTGACCATATCTGGACTAACACGATATCGTCACTACAAGCAGGTATTATCACAGACAACACTACAGACCACTACCCCACCTTTCTCATAACCAACTTATGTAAATTGCCTCAAGACTTGAGAAAGATCTCATTTCGCCTGCATGATGAGTCATCAGTAAATAATTTAATATTAGCACTAGGTGACAATGATTGACAGAGAGGGCTAGCTGATAGCAATAATATTGGCAAAGATATCAAATTTTTTTTACACAAAACCCAAAACCTTCATGACATGCACTGTACAATCAAAATGAAGCAGACCACACCAAAGAGACTAAACAGCCCATGGCTAACAAATAGTATCCTCCAATCCATTGATAAAAAACACCAACTTTAAAAACTGTTCAGATTAGGCCTGATTACTAAAGAACTGACTAAACGATACACGCCAATACTCACAAACCTAATACGAAAATCAAAGCAAATGTTTTATGAAAATAGATTTATTGAAATAAAAGGCGATATGAAAAGGACCTGGCAAACCCTCTCCAAAATTTTGGGCTCTAGAAAACTGTCTAGAAACATAAAGATAACATTACCTAAACCAGATGAACCTCATATACAGCCTTAAGACATGGCCAACAAATTTAATGTCTTCTCTACTCTAGGATCAAAGCTAGCAAGCAAAATTCCAAGCTCAAATACTCAACCAAAAGACTACCTCACTGGTAACTACCCAAATACTCTATATTTAGCTCCAACTAATTCTACTGAAGTCTCATTAAAAAACAAAACAGGAGATCTAAATAACTTGCCACAATTCATATATAAAAAAGCAGCTCATGTGCTGTCACCCATTATTGCAGCACTGTTCAACAAGGCTGCTGAGTCCTCAACTTTCCTATCCACACTCAAGAGAGCAAGGGTTACCCTGACCCTTAAAGGAGGTGATCCAACTGATCTTAACAACTACAGACCTGTATCAAACTTGCCCTTACTTTCTAAAGTATTAGAAAAAAATACACAAACGACTTTACTCCTACCTCATATCCAACAACATACAGTGGACCCCCGCATAACGATCACCTCCCAATGCGACCAATTATGTAAGTGTATTTATGTAAGTGCGTTTGTACGTTTATGTTTGGGGGTCTGAAATGGACTAATCTACTTCACAATATTCCTTATGGGAACAAATTCGGTCAGTACTTGCACCTGAACATACTTCTGGAATGAAAAAATATCGTTAACCGGGGGTCCACTGTACTTAACCCCTACCAGCTTGGATTTAGACAAAAAAAAAAAAAAAAAAGTACAGATGATGCGATCATACAAATGCTTGAACTAATATATACAGCCCTCGATAAAAATGAATATCCACTGGGGCTCTTCATTCATCTACGGAAAGCATTTGATACAGTGAACCACAATCTCCTGCACCTAAAACTAAATCATTACAGCATCAGAGGACATTCCCTCAATTACCCAAAATCTTATCTCAACAACAGACACCAGTATGTCTATGCAAATGGAGTCAACTCCACTATCCAGCCTGTAGCTGTTGGAGTGCCCCAGGGTAGTGTCCTAGGGCCACTCCTCTTTCTCATTTACATCAATGATCTCTCCAATGCATCTCAACTCATTGACCCATAAACTGTCCAAACATAGATCTATGTTTGTAACGCTAGCGCTCGAAACGTAGATCTAAGTTTTATTTTTCCTGCCTTCAAATTTGGCATGATTTGCCTGAGATGCCTGGTCAGTATAGAATGGGTCTTAATACTTGGTGTGCATAGTATTAAAAAATCTGGGACCACTTAGTACCTTGTGGGAGCACCAGTTCAATCAAGTGCCAGCTAGAGCAAATAGCATGGCAAACACCAGGTATTCACTGATGTCATGTCGTATTAACATGCCCCTTTGAGGATAGTGATGCTGACCCAGAGTTTAGTGGCTTTGAGATGGATGTGGCCACAAGTGGTAGAGGAAATATAAAAAACCTCGATAATAACCCATGTGCAACATTTGTGCAACATCCATTCATTTCTGAAACTACTGGTAGTGCAATCCTGCCAGAATGTCCTATAACCTATGCCCTAAGTAAAGAAAAGATTCTGGAGCATGTGTAATATGTATTCGGCAGGGTGGCTGGCTGATTTTGGCTGTCTCTCTGTCTGTATCTGTCTCTGTCTATCTGCCTGTCTACAGTATATATCTATATATCTGTCTCTCTCAGGTACACGTAAGTACAATTATACACAGTGTAAATTACCTAGGATAACCCAAAAATTCTACGCAGCACTATACAGTGCTTGTAGATATAAGGCATAATAAGCATGACTGGCAAGTATATGCATTTTTTTACTTGATCAGGAATGAGATGTGACAACTTTGCATCACGTGTAATACCTGTTGGTTTATGAGCCGCTCTCTGAGACAGAGAGACAAGCAGACGGAAAGACAGACACATAGGTAAACAGAAAGACAGATAAGCAGAGCTAGACAGAGACAGACAGACATGTTTGTAACAATGAAAACAAATAAAGCCAGGGTTCCCTGGAGTAGTGCATGTTCATCGAGTGTCATTCCACTGCTGCAGTGTCAGCAGTTTAGTGGCACTCATCTTAACACCATGCTTATACTCCAGCATGTCTAAAACATTGCTGAGACTCATAAATACTTTCTGTATGTTTCTAGATAATAGTAAATGACCAAGGCAGGTGAAAAGGTTCACCTGTCAGTGTGTTTGTGACTATGTGAGTATTATATCAGTACCTAATATTAGTGTCAGAACAAAGATTGGCTATGAAATCACAATAACTACTATAAATTGTAATTATCAGAACAAAAATTATATAAATTAAAATAAAAACGAGAAAGGTGTATCGGCAACACTTCTGACTTGAGCATCCAGTGCCAAGTTCACAGTCTTATATCTCAGTAAATA